ATTGAACAGCTGGAAAAAGTCCTAGCTTACGGAAAGAGGAAATTATTATTTTTTTTTTTTTTTTTTGCTGAATTGTGAAATAATGACACACGTAAACATATTTCTAAACAAGGAATTAATAAAGTAACTTGGTGCTTATTTACAATCATAGTCAAAACACGCTTACTCTAAAAATAATCACCTCTTTTCAGAAATTACAAGAATGTCAAATGCTTTTCACATTAAAATTTAACTTTTTCCCTGTTGTCTAATATTGTAAGATATCAATTGTTTATAAAGATTTTCTCATAGTTTTGTCCAGGCAATACCACACCACACCGAACATTTCATGGAAGATGTTCCCTCAGCAGAAGATGCAACAAAATGTTGTGAAATCTCCAACCATACTCTGGTTAACTGCCGCAATATGTCGACACACAAGCTCAAGGAATTAGATAGACTTAAGAGTCGGGATAAAGAGATCATTGCATTTCATTTGAACCCTCCTTAGATCTGTGCTTTCGTTTTTTACTCCTGTATCAACAAAACGCGATTTACATGAGAAAGAGAAAATCCATCCAAGAACAAAGGGTAAGGTTCACCGAAAGTACTTGTCATGAGAACTTGGATCCAAACATGATTTGAGTTTCCTATCGATATGCTTTACATCTTTGGAAGTAGGCGTCTCCAGCCTATTTATCTGTAAAAGTATCTCGAATACTTCAGCGGTTAGTGGACTAGCAAAGTAGTTACATATTGTTAGGATTACAATATAATGCCATAGGAAATAAATTATACCATAGTATCGATGGCATTCAAGGAAATGTTGAACTCTGAAATGGGAAAAGCAGGATTCTGCCTCGACAGCATGCTTTTCAGGTATCTAGACGAGGTTTATTTACAGTTATTTTGGACAAGAAGTGGAATTTGACCTGTAACTAATTAAGTGATTGAATGTATTCAAACCTCTCAAAGTCAAAAAATTTATGCACATTGCAAGACCTCCGTAAGGCTGTCAATGCCAGCTGCAGAAACAACAGATAAAGAAAGAAAACCATTAATTAAAAAGATTGACAAATCAGAATGATAATCCAATCAAAAAGAAGTGCACAAAGAAAGAGCAGAAGGTGAAGCAAGAATGCTTATTATGAAAGCCACAAGTCACCCTCGCAACATGCAATGCAATGAAATATATTATATACAGGTAAATGTTCAACCTAGGTCTCAAAGTAAATGCTTGGTTTTTTACTTGGATTAGATTTTTAGGCAAAGATAGACTTTTAACAATTTCTCACCTTTGCACCTTTCCTCCACAGGAAAAAATGGAAATATGTTGTCATAATTCCGTTCACAGTTCCCCAACAGCTAATGATTACCAGTTATCCGACCCGGACAGAGAAGAACAAGAATATAAAATAAGTGTTTCCATAATTATTCAAAACTCAGATTACTTTCCTCTATATTGTTCCCCACGCCATCCAAAAACACCATAAGGAAAAAAAGGTGGAAAACTGTGTTTCAACAAGAGCATACACCAGTGAGCAGAAAAAGGTAGGAGAAAAGCCATGATCCCCATATACCAAAATGGAGAGTGAGAGACAGGTATATTTTACGGATTAGTGATGAAACAAAGGGAGACGTGTTTGCTGCAAGAGTTCTATCTAAAATGACTCTTAGCACAGCTTGCCATGTTGGTATGAGATAACCAGCTCTATCTGGGCAAAAGGACAACTTGGTTGCACATCAACTGCATAATTTATAAACGACCAGCAGAGTAACTTGGTTGTGGTAGTTGGTAATTAATAGAATTGAACATGAGATACAATATCCATAGTTCATTTAACATGCTGAACCTATGCAATTCCTTGTTCATTGGTGACTGTTCACGCATCATAAACACAAAAGTTGTTATGAGAAAATGGAAAATACATGTATGTTTCACTTCTAAAATATTTGAGAATGCAACCATATATGCAGAGTACATAGATTCCTACAAGGCTAGGAGATTTTACAGTCAATGAACTAAACTTCATAACTCCCTTATCCTTAAAATCATCTCACTCTCCCAATATACGCAGTCTTCCTAAATTCCTTGCCCATATCTAAATCCTTTATTCTTATCTCAACAAATATATGTAACTTTCCACACTCACCCTGAAGCTGGCTCAAAATGATCAAATGTCTAATTTTTTTCTCTCATCAATATTCCGTATTTGAGGGGCTTCAGCAGAAGATGGGTGAAACCATACTTTTTGGTATAAGAAAATCCCCAAGGATGGAAGAAAAATATTTTCTCCTATAACCAGTTCTAAAGATACCAGAAGAACACATCCAGTGCGTTTTTGGAAACTCGTAATTCTTCAAACTTGTTGGCTTCCCATGTAATTTCAACAATTTCTCTCATATGTTGAGCTTTTTTGCGGTAGTCACACATGATATTTTCCTTCTCATTCTGTCTCTTCGTATTTTCGGCATACCAACTAATGCAGTCTCAGGGATATTAAGGTCGAAACCCTGAAAGTTGTAAAACATTCTAAACAGATAGCATGTGCCCACTAGTATCCTGTGAGGTCTCCAACCTCCTCTCTGACATAATTAATTGAGCCATTAGGATCAGAGGATGACTTTGATACCAAGAAAGCCAACATGGAGAAAACATATAGCTTCAATGCAGATATACAAAAATACAACCATATATAAAGTACATAGGTCTCCTATTAGACTAGGAGATACTGCACATTAGTAATTCAAATTTCCCAACTCTTCCATCCTTCTCTAATAATTATGCCGCACTCCCATGAGAACTTAAGTTCCCAGCTACTTCGCCCTTATTGTAAATCTCTTATTCTTATCTCGACAAACACATGCAACTTGCCACAACATACAAATTATGATATATCTTAGCATCATGTCATCTTATTTTGTGGCTAGTGAAAAATGAATAACTATGTTAATTCTTCCCTGATTTTAATAGATTTTTCAAAGTATTCCCCCTTAAACTGATCTATTTCTACAATGCTTACATGCTAGATCAGAAAAATATTTCATCTTTAGAAACCTTTGAAATGCAATCCTTATAAAAAAAATGTGAAACCCTGTTGGTTTCTTAGTTTATTCTGAAACCTGGTCAAGGACAATATGAAGTAGGCAGAGCATAGTTTGCCAAGTCAGGGACATTACTAATATAATTTTTCCCTAAGCATATGTTTATGTGCAAAAAGGCAATAAAAATTATACACGAGCATTTTGAACTTTGTCAAGAACCTAAACATGTAGAACACAGGCCAGGTACACTCAAAGGGTTGGCTGCCTAAATACTGGATCTTGGCTACGTTTTAGCTTGGGGCAAGAGGAACTGTAAAAGTGGGAACTTGCAAATGCCCATGTGGTGCAGGCAGGAAGGGAAGCCACAAAACAATCTTTATTTAGGGGTTGCACCTGGAAGCCGACAAGAAGATGCTAAAAACTGCATATTGTGCAAGTAATAAATGAATGCTCTCCTGAACAGCAATATATTTTATTTTATTTTTTTATATTCTAACCCATAAAATATTACACAGCATAGAAAATAAAAATGTAACAGTAAGGGAAGGTTAAATTTTTCCTTTTTAAGTTTACAAACACAAGCCAAAACAAAGTTAGTTTCTACAAGCTTTAGAACTCTGTAGCACGGATACTTCAATTAGGGTAGCTTGTCCGTGTCCAACATGTGTCGATGCCGAGACTCCTCAAACACTCTATCATAAATATTTTTCATTCCTTATTTAAAATATTATATATTTTTTACTCAAAATTATTAGTAAATAACAAATAAGTACTCATATTTAAAAGATTTCAATAAAAAATAAATTTAATAACAAACATAAAACTAAATTTATACTATGCCCTTGTTTGAGCCACATTATTTTCATAGGAAAGCATTTTTGAATAGTGTTTTGATAGAAAATGTATGGTTAAGAAATAAAGAAAAGTTTTGGATTTGCGTGTAATATTATTTTATTGAATAATGTGTAGTTAAAATAATGTCAAATCATTTTTAAGAATATATTTTTTTAAAAGAATGTGGGTCAAATAGGGCCTATATAAATGAAGACTTTTAAAAATTTTAATCGGTGGCATGTCGTGTCGATACTTTTTGAAAAATCACATGTCGGAGTATTGTGTCGGACACATGTGTCCGTATCAAAGCATCATAGCTTTAGAAGAATAATGGTACAAATAGTACAAATATAGCAAGCACGAGCAGGCAAAGGAAGAACAGAGCTTAAAATAAAATAAAAGCACCGTCACAACCAGAGATCAATGCGGATTGTTCTTCAATGGCTCAAAAGGTTAGAACTATGCCATGTCTATCCTAGTGAAAGATGTGCTCTCATAGTACATAAAAAATCACAATAATAAAAGATGAAGAGATATGTGGAAGTCAAAAGAAATGAGAAAGGATAAGCGTAAACAACTAGGCTGCAGGCAAATAACTTGTAGATATAGCATATTGCTACGCAACTTGTACCAAAACACAAATCTAAATGTTCAGGTCCATTATTTTTTAACTAAGCATTTGCATATTTCTATATTTACTATACTCATCTCCAGGTCCATTAGAAATTAGAGGTACTTCAAAACTTTCTACAGTCCATGAAACATGAGCTCAAGTTATTATTGTAGGACCCACTTAATCTCTACAGATACATGATTGACATGAGTCATACCGGACTATATGGATGAGCAGTATTTGCTAAGTTGTCCCTCATAAATACATGAATGGTAAACTTTGGCCCACCATGTACTTGTACAAACAAAGTTCATTTTCAAAGGTTAACTTACATCTCAAAAGAGAGGAAAGGTGCAATCCCATTATTTCCAATCACAATTTAGCATAGTTAATTTGATTAGATGATCTCAGAAATGCTTAATCGCAAAAGAGTTTGCAGCCAGCTAATGGATATTGTATTAAGAGTATAAATTTGAGTGAAAAGGTTGATTAAAAAGTTCAAACTGTCAATTAATTAGATATTGGACAAATTCTGAAGACCAGCCTTCCATACACATAAACAGAATTGAATTAATTCTCTCCCTAATTTTAAAAAGAAAATTAGGGAAAATATTAAGTGATAAAGGTCTTCAGCAAATATATCAGACAAGAGGACTTCATATTGACTGATAATTACCTGCCCAGGAGGGAATAGAAGGGGTGCTTCTGTACGCATAATTCTATCTACTTCCACCTTTGCAGATACATGCAAATCCTAAAGCAGAAGTTAGCAATTAGCACAATTAAAGAAAACGCATGAGATACATTGCATTCAAATCAAGCATAAGAAGTACAATAACAAACTCCACAAAATTCTAGAGGCTAATAGACCCTTCATGGAAAGCTATAAATCGATACTTTGAAAATAAATGATTTTGCAACAATCTAGAAGCTGTTTTTATTTTTGCCACCGCAATTCTCATTTTCTTGTTAGGCTGGTGAATGGGCAATGTGCATGCTTCGATTTCTTCCACCTGCCATGAGAAGTCTTGGCCCCCTAGTGAAACACAATTAAACTTCTGTTTTAATGTGGTAGATATTGCATTTCACAAAGCATACTCAGCTACAAAAGTCCTACATGGCCACTCCACCAAGAGGGAAAGCAAAGAACCTTTTGTGTCATGCACACTCCTCTCATATATCATAAATTACAAACTTCCACCCAAATTAACGGAGGTTTTTGGCTTTAATGTCAAACTGGCATTCTTCTAAAGCCATATTTATGTTACTTTTTCGGATCATTAATAAATCATTTTACATCACTAAACATACTTGGCATTCCATAATCCACACCACGGTCCATATCATATACCTTATACTACCTTCCAAAGTATAAAGGTTTTTGGCCTTCCATTGTCAAATTGAAGGACTTTCAAATCCACATTTTACGTCAATCTATTAGAGGATTTTGTGATCACGTATATTATTTATCTAAATCTAAACAAATTAATTATGAATCATGCACTCGAAAGAAAATGATTTGACCATAAAAGTCAAAGAAGTCGATAAATTTTGGGGAAAGGGAGGAGTTTACCAGGTTCATTAATTAAAAAGCACCCAAGCTTCCACCTCAAGGGGCCCCACCATAAGGCATTCGTTGAGTGCCTTGAAGCTTATGCCTTGGGTGATATTTAAGGATTACACTATAACTAAAATGCATGCCTCAAGCATAGGCCCCGGGGTGTCTGAGGTAAGCATTTGTTGTCTTGTCCTTCTAGACTTTCTATTACTTGCCACAGCTTTTAAGGGTGACTGTTTTATACTCTAGAAAATTGCAAAGCCTATTGGGCTATTTTAAACACATAACACTAAAAACAAGGGGAAAAAAGGGAGAAATGACGATAGAGCAAGTAATAAACCCCTCTCACACATGAAGTTGCAATTAATCAATGGCATATGGCTAGTGACAAGAGAGTATGAATGTAGCTTCAGTTTTTTATTTGTTTTATTTTTCTTCTTGTTGTCTGGTATTATAATTTTCTTTCTATACAATTTTAAGAGAGGGAAAGAGGAATGCACTACTGCAAGTGAAGGAGGAAAAGAGAGTTAACAAATTAACAATGATGAAGAGAATAATAGGGGAATTTGCTATATTAATAATTTTATGGAAGACTTCAAGGCATTTTCGTCTTCTAGCACTTGATATTCAAGTATGTTTTGTGACTACTATTTTGACGGTTAATTATTTGCTATTTTAATTGATTATATTTTATATTTGTTCGCAATTTAAATTTTTAATTTGTTAAATGGTGATATTGTGGATTTCGAAATGGTTTAGGGTTCAGAGCATACTTTTGTAAAATATTTTATTGGGTTGTATTGAGGCTTAAACAATTGCACTGGACCAGATTGTAAGATATAATTGTAAAAGTGGAATTTTGAGATTTCCTACGATAATTAAGCAATGTAAAAAAAAAAAAAAAAAAAAAAAAAAAAAAAAAAAAAAACCTTGAGAATTAGTCCACTATGCCCATGTTTTTTCTTGATAAAAAATTGTTGCATGTATATAATTTTAAAATCAATAAAAGTTTTAGGTCACGTGAACTAAGAATTGCAGCCCTTGTTTGAAAAAAAATGAATAATTCTTTGTGTTTATACTATAGGAATCAAAATGGACAAGTTGACACCTTAATCTTCTCGGATTGCTCGTCTCTTTCTCCATAGAACTCCTATAGAGCCAACAAGAATGATCATGAAACAAGGTGAGAGATATATTACACCACAAAGTACTAACGGAAACCAATTAAAAAATCAAACTAAATAATAACAATGCAGAATAATGCATGTTTATAATTGCTTCAACAGTAAGTTGGAAAAAAAAACCTCCACATCATTGACAAAGCCTTCAAGTGCACGATATGGTGCATAAACGATAAGATCAAATCCTAGACTCTGCAAGGACAGGGAAATCTATCAAAATATTAGAGAAAAAACAACAGAAGAAAATAGCATATGCATGTAACATTCATGCCTGAAGAACCAGCATTTCATTATCGAGGATCATCTGATGATCCTGCTCAATCCCTTTACCAAGCTCCTCTGCTGATACATGATTCTCTTCTGCCTTACAAGCTGCATATATGCAGGTTAACCTACAATGGAAGTAAGTCATACAAATTCGTTGTAGCTGCTGATTGATAAAAAGGAATTCCGTTCTTCTGTATCTAGCATTTAGTGTGATAAGAACGCAAACTATGACAGAAGCATGAAGCAAATTGTCCAATTGTCTATTGTTAAGAGGCCAAGATGATGTAAACAAGGTTCAGTGTTATCTTTTGTGGTTTTCAATGTATTTTAACCTTTAAAACAAAAGAGAAACTTCTAAAATTAATCAAAACTAATGTCTCAATTGAGATGTAATCATACATGATGTTCTTTGGGTGATGTTCCATCACAGACCATTGCAGATAAAACCTTTTAAAATAAATAAGAGCTGTTGCCTGAAAACAAGAAGCAAATAAAAAGTAAAGTTAGAATCACAATCTAATCCCTATAATTTATAGACCAACATAATGTTCAAGAAACATAATCATATACCTGAATTTTGCGTGGGAACTTGAAGGCATCACATACATCTTGGATTTTGAACTCGTAGAAAGCCCGGAGAAGTTTTTCTTCCTCAGTCTTTAGTGGTTTTGGACGAGAATGCTTCTCAGCTGACACACAAGCGAAAATAGCAAGGTACAAAATCAAATAAAATGATGATCTCATCTTTCGTCAACCAGGAATATTCAACTAGAATTTGCAACTAGTTATAAGATAGAGATATGGTTTCAAGATGAAGAGTTTACCACTATCATTGTGAGGTTCGGCATAAGAGAATGAACCATCAATGTCGACTTCCATTCGAGTTGCTCCATACTTACACACATGTTACGGTCTTAGCATCATTGGAATAACATATTGATACAGAACAAATAATCTAGGAATATTAAACTTGTACAAATAAAGACTGTGATGAATCGTTACCATAATGACAAATAACTATCAAAATAGCAGTACTAGGTCCTTTATCTATGTCTCCCAAAAACTGACCTAACTTCTAATATTTTCATCTCTAAAAGGCTAACTATTTTTTCTAATACTTACTCACTTTCTTTTTCTTCAGGGGACAAGACTTCTAATTTGATGATTTATGCACAAGAAAGAGAGGAAAAGAAAATAATAAAAAAGTTAGTGGAACTCTGGCATCATCTTAAATGTACGCGTTTCAAAATGAAAACATTATTTTCTGAGATTCAGTAAGAAATAGAACTGCAACTAGTGGAGTCATAAATAGTAATAGGATTTAAACCATGCATGATTAGATCTTCTTAAGTTTACCAACGCAACAGCAGTGTGGCAACCATCTCAAATCAAAGCACTATGTGCAGAGCCAAATTCAAGATTCACTATTCTGAACTTAAAAGGACTCAATTACCTAAAATTAGAAAGTTTTCCAAGCTGGAAAACAATAAAACAGGGCTTTTTCAGGTATGACAAGAAGTTAACAGCTACTGAGGTCATTGCTCTTCAAGTTTGTAGCTAGGGTTTATTTTGCCCTTATAATTAGATAATCAATTTTTTAGTTCCCATTTCCCTCATCAAAAAACAGATATATCTTTGGAATCCCTTTTTATTTATTTTATTGATCAATTTCTCTCCTGTATATATCACATAGGTTAATGGTGCCCAACAGATTTCCTACAGATCCCATTCCATCAATTCTGCATAGTTAAGATTCAAAAGAACATCAAATTTAACAGGCGCCTGCACAGAGACACACACATATATATCGATATAACATAAAAATACCTTCTCCAGTGCTTGCTTAGCTCTTTGATTAGCAGCCTTGTATTTTTCTTTCTGTATAGAATCAGAAAAAGAAGAGTGATGTTTATTTTAATTTAAGCAGACAATTTCCCAAATGAAAAAAAGAGTAAAAAAAAAAAAAAAACATAACAATAGAATGCACAGAAACTAATAATTTCTTCTACCTTTGCAGACGAAAAATGGACTAAAAATGATAATAACATAATGCCCAGAAATGAATAATTTCTTTAACTTTCCCAAATGAAAAAGGAGGAAAAAAAAATAACAGAGTGCTAGACATTAATAATTTCCTCAACTTTCCCAAATGAAAAGTCGAGCAAAGACGGTAATAACCTGAGCGCCCAGAAATTAATAATTTCTTAAACTTTCCCAAATGAAATGGAGTACAAAACATAATTATAGAATGCCCACAACTAACTTCTTAAACTTTCCCAAATGTAAATTGGAGTAAAATGCCCAGAAAATTTATAATTTCTTCAACTTCCCCCAGTGAAAAATGGTTAAAAAGATATAACAGAAAGCCCACGTACTAATAATTTTTCAACGGCGATAAAGTAGGAAAATGTTCAAAATAAATAAATAAATAAAATAAATAGAAGTTTAGAATGAAAGAGTGAAGAGGAGTCATTACGAGATCTTGCGGAGTGAATATCCATTTTGCTCTGTGAGTAGATGTAGTAAAATCAGCCATTGCTCCCTCTCCAACGCGACGACGCTAAAATGGGTTTTGGCGAATCAAGATTCCCGTTTTGTATCGAATGGTTAGGCACGTTTGCCTATTTTTGAAAATATATAGTTTAAGTGCTTGTTTGGCTGAAATTTTGATAATTGATTTTTTAACCGTTAGAAATAAAGTGGATCTTATCTGTGTGTGAGAAGAATTTAAAAATCACTATGGGAATGTAAAATAACGATCAAAAAATTGATTTTAATTGACTTAAAATTTAAACCAAAGAAGCTCTAAGTTTAAGAAGTGCTTGTTTGCACGGTGGACAAAAATCGAACAAATCCACGAAAATCGATCAACCCAATCCAATTGGACTAGTTTGGGTTGGTTTTTTCTTAGGGAAGAATCCATGACTCAGCTTTTAAGTACGAGCCATTCAAATTCAAGCATGTAAGTTCAAATATGCAAAAATCAGGTGTTTGTCTGGACCAGATGAAAATTGTAATTTATCCCGTTAAAAATTACAATTTGAATGTTTGGGTTAAAAATGCCTGACACATATCCAACAACAGTCACGTATTCACACCCTAATTATCGAATTTGCCCTCAATTGTTGGAGATATTGGACGTATTTATTAATTAATTATAATATTTTTATTAATTAAATATACTAAGATCGCAATTATACAATAAATAATCATGAATGCATATTTATAGGTCATAGATGCATACTCATATGTCACAACGTCACATATTATCAAATTAATTAATCAAAAGTTATTTCATCGATTGCAAATCAAACAATTTATAGATCACAATTTATTTATCGGTAATAGACTTTCAAATTAATTGCTCACAAATTATTTTTCAGTCACATATTATCAAACTTTTAGGTCATAGTTAAATACTTGGGCACAAGTGCCAATTTATTGGTCACATATTATTTTTAGTTACAAATTTCATGTTACATTTGAATACGTGGTCAAAAATTATACAATTTATTGGTCACAATCCTAAGTAATTGGGGTCACAAACACCCCATTCCATCCTCATCCATCGTCATTGCCACTATTCGCACCAACAAAACAACACACCAACTTACCATCACTGTAGCACCATTGTCACCAACACCTACACCACCAATGATTCAGCCACGCCACTAACACCACCAACGCGACCAGCTTTCCATCTCAACCACACTAAAACAACAATTCCCACCCAAAAAACCCCCAAAGCTATCGCTGCGGACCACCAAAAAAATCATCGCCACTGCAACACCGACACTCACGCTGCCCAAAATTGGCACCACAATCATCACCGCCAAAGCTAGTAACCACTACCACCAGCAAAACACACAATCCAAACTACTTTACAACTACCACAAAAATCAAATTCATGGCTGAAGATCACCCTAAAGCTATGGTCGAGCATCGATGTGCACAGGGCTCAAATTGTCGCGACGATGTGAAAGAGCTACTTAAATCAAGGCGTGTAATAGGAATGGAAACGTACAGCTCACAGCATCGCTACTCCCAACGGTCAATGACGTCGTTGCGCCAGAGATCTTCTTTCAGGGGGAAGCGTCGTTGAGAAAGAAGAGAGTGACTTGTGTGTTTAGAGAGAAAGAGGAATGAGACGGTATAGGGAAGGGTTAGGTTTTATGTTTGGGTCGGGTGGGTAAACTATAGATACTTGATTTTTGCTTAAATAACTTACTCACCTGAATTTTGAATTATAAATTTTAAACACCTGCTTTTATGTAATTTTCTCTTTTTCTTAAAAAAAATTCTGTTGGGTTGAATTTTTTAGAAAAAAATGGGTTGGGTTGATCCATCAAAACCAATAAAACCCTTCCAACCCAACCCACTTCTTAAAAAATTGGAAAAAAAAAATTAAAAACAAATGTAAAAATTAAAAAGTTGAAACCTCCTAGCCCTAATTACAAGGTCTTATCATTTCTCTCATACTTCCTCTTTCTTTCTAACCCTAAAGCTAAATGCTGCCTTCTCTCATTCTTTCTCGTTCAAGCCCATCGACGGTCGTCAACTCTATTTGCATCTAGGCTTGATGCTAATCACCGGCCTTTGTTTCTTTTGGTACTCTTAACTTTGAATTTTAAGTTAATTATTCATTTTATGTTTTGCAAATGTAGATTTTAGGCTTATTTTTTCCTTTAATCAAGATGATAATTTGTATGATACATGTATTTTCCTTCATGAATGATTACAAGTTTGTTCATGGTTAAGGCATTGCAGTTGATATGTTTTTATTGTGTAACATATTTTTATGATTTTTAATGTCTAAATCGACTTACCCAGCCCAACCCAACCGAAATTTGATTAGGTTGGATTTGTTTGATTTTAAATAAAACCAACCATGTTGGATTGGATTTGGATTAGGTAAAAAACCTACCAAACCCAACCTATGTCCACCCCTACTTGTTTGATTAAGCTCTTCTTAATAGAAATAAAAAAAATTATACTTTAATCTAAATTAAAGTTAAGAATTAATTTTAATCATATATTTTATTTATCCAACAACTTTTAAATCACAAATTTTCATCAATTTCTATTAAAATCTGTTACAAATCTAATTTCAATCACATCAAATAACTGTTAAATTTTATCAACATTTTAACCAATCAAATTTACAAGGATGTCCAAATTTTTAATGAATTTCGAAAGTTCTAAATATAAGTGTTATCGATTGGGATTTTAATGAATATTAGTAAATTGCTATTTGATGGTCATTAGTTTGAAAAATTGAGTTAATGATTTTTCTACTTCATTATTTTCAATTCTACTCAAAATCATTGGTCATTACCTAATAGATAATGAGAGGACATATATCCATTATGTATTACCTTGTTATTAATGTAACTTTTCATGAAAGTTACATTAATTTTATAAAAATTTGTGAGACATTGAGAAGAAGAAAAAAATTGTTTCATTTTATTGAGGGTATAAAAGATAATTTGATATCCAATTTGACCATTTCTGCTGAAGTTATTAAAATTGGACACTTTTTAATTGATAAGCATGTAATTAGCCATTTTTGAAATTTTCCCTTTCAAATATTTCCTTCGCTGTAAAGCACGATAACATAATATTTAGACAAAAGAAGGATCAAGGGGCATCACATGTATAATTTAATAAAGGATTGAAAATGAGAGTTTGATTTACAAAAAAAAAAAAAGTGTGTTCGTAAGTTAGATAATAAGCCAAGATTGAAGATTTTGATGTAAAAAGTGGTATAACTTAAAACAAATTGTAGTGTCAAACAGATCCTTCCAAAAATTCTCCTCTTTGGATACACCTGAAATTATCTTCCAATTTCAGCAATGTAATTATCCTCTAATTATCATCAAATCAAATTATAAAAGTATTTCGTTTAATTTCGAAATTCTAGTCAGAATAACCCCAAGTATTTCTATCTTGTTCTAGTTTCCACTTATATTTTAATTTGGCAGAAAATAAAAAGTTGATAACTAAAAAGTTGAAGCAGTATTTACATAACAGGTGCTAATCTACTTATACATGCACAGCGGAATTTAAAATAATTTTCGATTCCCACCAAGAATCGCCTTTGTGTTTAGATAGAGATTGTGACAAGATTGTACCTTTTCCAGATCTGCAATCTTTTTGCTTTTCTTTTCGTTACATCAACATTGATTCGCCACCACAGCTGTCCAATTGTCCAGCCTCCAACGGTAATCCACACAGAGAATAAGATTGCAGTTTCTAGGGTTTTCTCTTGTGCCAGCAAGAATAATGAAAATCTTATGGACCTCAAACCCTAGTTGTGTATTTATATAAACCCAAATAGACTCGGCCCGGTCCGATCCAATAATTAATTAATCCAATTAATTAAACCCGGTCCGTGAATTAATTAATCCAATTAATTAATTTGAAAATATAAATAACAAATCCAATTAATTAATTTATCCAACGATTGTTAAATTAACCAATTGGCAATTTGCAATCTTCCAATTCTCTTTTGTGTATGACCCATTAGGTTCCCGACCACGATGCCTAATGACGTGAAATATTATTTTGATCTAATCAAAATTGATAAATTAAAACACCATTTTAATTTATCGTCAATTCACATTCGCCGTCCCTGATTGACATCTAGTAATGTGTCAGGGCAATACATGTGACGGAAAAATGTCACGTGGTATGACAAAACCAAATTCGTTCGTTTACCGTGAAACTATAATCCCTTCGTCAATATGATCCGATCAATTACGAGATATGGAGTTGTGTCAATCTCGATCATCGATCATATCTTTCACTCCACTATTAAGTCAATATAAGTCGAAAACTCCTTTTCGACTTATGAGTACACCTTGGTCAAGGATTTCATCATCGATTTAATTGAATGAAACGCTGATCATAATTTCCTACTATCTAAGAGTGACGAATCCTTTATTGATCAATCACAACCTTCATACGATTATTAACGTACCCGAACGATATCGTATTAGCGGCCCTTTTCAGAACAACATCCAACACCGCCAAAGTATGACTGTCCTCATATAAGGTACTATGACGACCTCAATTCAAAGGACCAATTCCACTACCGAATGTTAGAGATTAACCACTGACACTCAGATAGTTATCCATGTGGAATCTCTCGACGGGTCTCCAATGTTTTGTTCTATAACAAAAACATCCACGTGTTCATTTAAGTATCACCACACTTTAGCTTGTGAGATCAGCTACTTACTTCACAAGTAAGAAATGCCACACGTGATGGTCTATCCGTAATAACGATATCCGTATCTCGTTATTACTTACGACCACGGATGATTTAAGATTCAATCAGATGTAATTTGTATTTCACAATCACAACTCCTTGTGATTAAAAAATTACAAATATTTGAATTTACGGACTCTATTATTTATTTAATTGTCTATTAATTAAATAATAGATCTGCCATTTAATTGCATTAATTATATATAAAAGTATTTATGTCCAAAGTTGATTGGACCTAGGGCATAATACTTACAATTGACAAGTGTAGGAAGGCGAGATGGAGAGGAATAATCCCATCGGCAACAGACACGGAATACTATTACTGAGATCCGAGTCAAGGTTAGCCTCGTCAGACTTATTTTTGCAATGGGGGAATAAAAAATGCTACTCGGGCGGTGGTGGCCGTAGATGGCGGCTGAAAGGGAAGAGGCTTTGTAGGAGGGATCTGGAAAATGGAGGAGATGGGAGTTGGGGGGGAAAATGGATTAAATGATTGGTGGAGGGGTGTATGGGAGTTTTTAAAAAATAAACTTAAATTTTTATTTTTTAAATGATAAATGAAAAATTACAAAATAAGAATGGATGTTATTTTCTCTTTCGATAATGCGCCATGATTAATGAATTCAACAAATCTAGAAAGTAAAAACATAAAAGAGTAGTGGCAATGAAACTATTGGGGAAATTTTCTCCATAAAAACACTTTAAATTAGTTTCTTTAGGCTTTTGATAAAAAAAAAAACTTAAAATTATAAATTCTAATGATTTTTTAATTATTATTTGAATAGATTTTCACAAAATATGTAAGAAATTTATTAAAATGCTTAAATTTCAAAAGAATTTGTTATATGTATTTTTAAACTTGAAATTTATTTAAATCTTTTAAAATTTATCTATTAATGAAATCTTTATAAATTCATGAGTTATTGAGTATACTTAAATTTTAAATAAGTACATTAAAATTTATTAAAATCTTAGTTGCGAACATTTAAATTTTAATGAATTTCATTAAAAATTATTAAAATTTCAATTGGTAACAATTGAATTTAGAAAGACTTTTAATAGAAATACCCTAATATCATGCCTGTTTATCAAGTTTTTTGACAAGTATGCCATTCTCCTTGCAAATTTATTCTTCATTTTTGCATGAATTTCAAACCATCTAAACGTTAGCCTCGTTTGATAGTTATTATAAAGAGAAATTAGAGGAAAATGATATTTTAAACAATGAATTTTTTTTTTTTTAAATGTGGTTCAAAAATAGGAATTTTTCTTTTATTTATGTGCAGAATATTTGATTGTGTGAATATGTAATTAAAAATAAATATTAAAAACGAAGAATTTCAATTTAAAGAAAGTCAAACATTGTGAATGTCTAATCCATTTAAATACTGTAAGCCTGTCTAGAGCTGCTTCTTCAATGACTTCCGAGCAAAAAATAAAGAAGAGCCGTTACCACCAACTGTGGGTCCCACCTGAGAGATTGGAAGTCAAAAAATTCGACCACTGTTGAAAACTAATGATCATAAAATCATTTTTTTGGCCACAAAAATCCGTCTCAAACAACCTCACTTCCTTTTTCGCAAAAATTTCAAGTCATCTAGACTTTCTCATCAACCTAGACAAAATTAATAAGAATTTCTAGTGCATATATATGCCTTGTTTGATTTCCATTTTTTTATAATACATTTTTCTCTCTTCTTTTTAACTACTCATTCTTCATTAAAATAATATTACACATTAATTAAAAAAAATTTCTTATTTTTTAATTACACATTCTCCATCAATCTACTATTCTAAAATTCATTTTTCCATAAAAATGGGATCCAAACACCCTCTAATTTTCATCGTCTACTTTGCCTTAATTATCTAGATGATACTTTAATAAAATGACGTTACAATCATTGTACATTACTAAATGATCAAGCAAGCGTATCCAAGTAACCCTCTAATTACAATATATTCTTTATTTTAAAGAGCTAATACTTAAAAATAAGCTCCAAGAATCTTTTCTTCCACTTTTCGACACTCTAAATTTAGAAAGTCCAACACACTCTCAATTCTTAATCTACACTGATCACATATTTCAATACTTCAATTCTTAAACTAATCAACTCACATTTAATTAGTTAACCATCAAAATATAAAAAATTATGCTAAATTATAATATGAACAGAAATCAATAAATATAAAAATAAAATAAAGAACCAAAATATATACCTTTGAAAGAATAATGCCATTTAAACCTAATGGGTTTGTAATGCAACGTTAATTAATAAGTTAAATGAAAGTTGAAATTAACCCCCACCCCCAATTTTTTTTTTTAAATTCATTTTTTTAAAACTCATTTTCAATCATAAATTCTCCAATAAAATAATATTACAAGCAAACCTCAAACTTTTTCCTTAATTGTTAACCACACATTCTCTATCAGTTTACAATTTCAAAATACATTATTTCTTTAAAATGGAGCTCAAACAATGACTAAATGACTTATTTCATTGAATTTATCATTTAATGCCACATTAACATCACATAGACTAGTTGTAACCTTGTTGAAGCTAAATAGCATTATTCTTGTTGAAATGCATACAAATTCCAACTCTCTAAATTTAAAGACGCTCTCTACAATGTATAAGATGCTCTCTAAAAATACTCTCGTAGATGCTCTAAGCCCATTTTTGATAAAAATTAAAATCTAGATTTTTATCCAAGTCAAAATCAATAATTAATTTTAACAGTATATTTCATAGAACCCACAACTTTTCAACCGCCTATTTCATTAACTTTTATTAAAATCTACTAAAAATCTGATTTTAATTCATGTCAAATAGGAGCCAAGTAAAATTTTGGTAATTTGGTCTCGGCCAAACCAAAATTGACTAGTCAGCAAAAATTTCCTACCCTATATATCGTAGGTGATGCTTTGTCGAACAAAAAATAAAATTCAAGAGCAATTTGCGAACAACTTCTATGAACAACGGCGACAGTATCACAAGGTGCTACAAACAGGTCTCCAGGTCTTGTCTGGATAGGAAGAGTCGAAAATGAGAGCAACTATTCACGAGATGGTAAATTATAATATGAAAATAAAACATCCTAATTTACAGACAAATTTCCCCTCCTCAAAACAACAGGATCATAGACTCAGAAATTCTCAAAATGTNGGGACATAAGGTAATTAAAACAGCGTAATGGGAAAGCTTGTCAATCAAGTTTACTTAAGCACCCTTAACAACACCAATGTTCCCGGCCCAACCAGGACCACAATATCAGTTAGTTGGGTTCTGCAGAAACAGGAATAACATGAACCTTCGCTGGTACAAGGCATTAAAAGCATTTTTCCTACACATTACTAGATAACACGGGAAGTTTTTAACTTCATTTTTTTCTTTAATACAATCCGTGTTATCCAGTCCAACGTACTCAAAAATATAAAATGAAAGGAAAAAAATCTCAATTCCACTACTGGAACAGGTCCCATGGAATTATGGGACACTAAAGGGAGAGATCAATATAATTAGCTTAAAGAATATATACAAAGATAAATTAGAGTGAAATTCCCGGTGACCCAGTTGTCTACCAAATTCATACTCGAATAATTATCACAAAAGCAGAGAACGAAAAACAGTAAGCATAAAAAAGACAAGACATGATAAATTACCAGGAGTTGCCAGCCTCTCCATCACTTTTTGCAAAGGATCAGACCTTAAACACATTTGGCATCGCTGACCATTAAAGAAGCCGTATGGGGAACTTGCATCTTGACCAAGTTGTAAAGCCTGCAGAAGAATATATATATTTCAATTTTTTAGCGCGGGCATATAGATAACAGAACAAAAATCAACGTCATTTAACAATGAGTTAATGATTAAAAGTACGAGTGTCCCAAAACATATAAATAGGAAAAAGAGAAATCTCATAAGGAGAATATAGCAAGCATAAAGAAAGGGCTTAAAGAGAACCACATGTAGTTTGTGCAGAGCTTCAACCAGAGTATCGAGTGGAATAGCCATGAAAGATAAGAAAAGGATAAAGCTTATTTGAGTTCAATCAAGTCCATTACCTTCTTCAACCCTCCAATTTGGAATGGAAAAAAATAAGCCAAGAGCAAGGTACCCTACACCTTCTCTTACCCTATCTCTTACACGTTTCTACCTCTTCAATTTTGCTTATACTTACTAGCTCAAATGACCCACTCGTGAGTTCAATCGATTTGCTACCACCATCCTTCTTAGTAATTTCAGTTCAAAACTTGTAATTCCATTTAGTTACGCATCAATTATACTATTTTATCTACAGGGAGAATGTGAAATTTTCATATATAGTCAGATTAGCGAGTTAATTGTTCCAATGGTCACTGAACTTAGGTTCATGTCTTTGATTGGTCTGAAATTTAAAATGTCGAGTTTTGGTCACTAAATTTTGACATATGTCGTAAGTTACTCACTAGCATAACTGTTAAACTTTGAAAAATATCGAGTTTACAGTGCGTAATGTACAGTATTTTTCAAAGTTCAGTGAGTAATGTACAATATTTTTCAAAATTCAGTGAGTATTGTACAATATTTTTCAAAATTCAGTAACCAAAACTCGAAATTTTAAACTTCAGTTAACAATCGAAGACATGAACTTAAGTTCAGCGACCAAAACTCGACATTTTAAACTGCAGTGATCAATCAAAGACATGAACCTAAGTTCAATGACCATTGGAACAATTAACTCCAGATTAGTCCCATTTTACTATTTCTAATGCCTCATTTTCTTTGGAAGAAAGGAGAGGGGAGCATTTATAAAAGATCACAATTGGATATCTGAAGGAATATTCTCAAGTTCATACATTCATTCACTAGTCATAGAGCTACCCAGGATTTGCAACTTAAATGCATATCATACAACAGAACAATCTTCTAATAGCAAGTACCTGATGAACATTCAAGTTATCGAGAGGAATCTGTGCATATGCTCTGTCTTTCGCCAAAGCAGTGATATCACTGCCATGAAACAAAAATCATATACTAATCTTTCATGAAGGTACAATCGAACTCAAATAAAGAGTGATCAAACAATAGGATATCTGTGGGCAGCCAGAAAAGACCAACCTTCTACAGTATATATCCAGCAAGGAATCACTGTCATCTACTATAGGTATGGAACTAACATCAGCTGCAGAACAAAAAAAGAGGTTGTGAGGAGATCAAAGAATTCAAAAGGTTAAAAATTAAAAATCAGGAGTATCAATAAATGGTATAAGAACTAATGTCAGAGAAGTTTTTGCCAAGAAAGCAAATCTCATGGGAGAAAAATGATTGCACTTAATAAATGATAGCAAGCAAAATTAAAGCGGAAACACAAAAAATAAAACAGAGAAAGATGAACACCAAAGGGCTCCGTATGCTTATTTTTTCTAACAAAACATGAAAATTAAGTACTCCTTCAGTTTCATGTTGAATTAATGACTTTCTGTTTCTGGAAGTTCTGAAGTAATAACTACCCGTCCAAAATGAACCTATACTTTATAGATTGTACTTGACTCTTTAAAATAAAAGTAGAAAAAAGAAGGCTCTCTCTTTCTCTCAAACTTTCACAGCCACTATCATCTCTTCCTTCCCAAAGCCACCACCTGCATACCAAGACAACCCACATCTATCTATCTACATCTCAAACTCTCACAGCCACTATCATCTCTTCCTTCCCAAAGCCACCACCTGCACGCCAAGACAACCCACTGCTAGAACCACCTTCCCAACATTCAACCCAAAGCCAGAAAACTACAGTCATCACCACCCACTTCATAGACTTCCACAATGAAAAGTAAGCGTACTATGCCACCTCACAGGCTCCTGATCCTGAGAGCCCTCATCATCCTCTGTCCCGGCTGTTTCCACTGCCATACCAGCATATCCAGCACCACAGCCAATCCCTGGGTGTTGTCATTTTCTCCAGCTCTTCTTACCAGACCTTCAGCAACAGCAGCAACTTCTAGAAGCTTGATCAAGTTAACATCACTAACTCCTTTCCAAATCCCCAGCCAAAGCCACTATATTTACATAACCTCTTTTTTCAGCTTTCATCAATAGGACCACAGGAAGGCAGCATGCTGGGAGTTAGCTTAGAAAATCATCTGTGGTCAGTGATAGAGAGAAAATATGGCTTAGGAGTTGATTTTGGCATGGTGGCTGGGTCAAAATGGTGATCCTTCACTTCGACAATAATCGCTAGCTGTTTCTTAGATATCGAAGTTGGTTTGTGTGTTGTGGAGGTATTGGCGGTGATGATAATAGCGGGGGCCATATGAATGGTGATTGTGGGGTTAATCGGGGGGCTTTTTCCAGTAGTACTGGCGGTCATGATGGTTGGACAGTAAGGTAGGAGGGATGGTAGTCACCATTGGTTGGCAGGCATGGTCAAAAGGTGGTAGTAATTTGGAATTGACTCTATTGGTGGTGGATGATATTTATGCTTTGGGTAAGGAGACTGGTGTTGGCGGGAGGCCGGTGAATTTTGGTGCTCTGAGAAAAGAGAGGGCAGTGACCAAATGAAAGATTTATGTAAGATAACAATGACTGTAAAATAGAAGGCAACAAATTCCTAAGAAATTTCGAACAAAATTAGGCAGAAAAGATCAACGTGAAAGGGAGGAAGTTTATAAATCAAAAATGATCAATCAGATTTATCCATATCGTTCATTCGGAAGATTCTATAAAAGCAGATCAAATTAACACATCGGATTGCAACTTAAGAGAATTAAAAAAATGCAATAGAAGAGAAATATCACTAATGGGAGAGAATAAATAATAGACAAAACTAAAATTGACTAATAAACTGAAAAACTCGGGAAAACAGCAGAAGTGTGGGATGGTTCATTGATTTGGAAATGATACTCAATGTTAGAGAGAAGGTATGGGCCTTAACAATGGAAAATGGAACTCGACCTTTCTATGTTTGAAATTGGCATCATTAGGTGCCTCTTAGGGTGTAGATTTCAATTATAACAATGAGGCAAAAAAAAATAAAAAAGCCAAAGTGCAGTCCATTATAATGAATAACAGCTGATATTGGCCTCAAGGAAGAAGGGCTTACAAGTGAGATTCCTGCACAAGCTGATGGAGTACCACAAAGTGTGATTCCTAATAATGTTGAGGAATGAGGATCAAAGTGTTATGGCTGCCATTGCTTGATGGGAAATTCTCAGAAAGAAACGCTTGAGATCACACCAGATCAAACTAAAAAAACCTGGTTTAAAATGAAATTCCTAGGTTTGCACTTTTTTCTGTTTGACTCTAATTTTTCTCCAAACTCGTTTTTAACCACACATTTTTCAATAAAACAATTTTACATGTAAACCCAAAACTTTTATTACTTGTTAACTACACGTTCTTAAAAATAATAATAATAATAAAAAAATTGCATATTGTTTCAAAAAAAGGGGGCTCAAACACACCCTTATTATATGGTTCATAAATAAGATATCTGCTACAGCAGCAGAAACAATGTATTGTGTGGGGAAGCTGTAGAATGCACATCATGTTTACTTTTTTGTGAAGGTCTGGCAGTGGATTCTCTATCATCTTAGGCCATGTTTGAGCCACATATTTTCAAAAAAATACATTATTAAACAGTGATTTGACATCATTTCAACCACACATTTTTCAATAAAATAATATTACACACAAATCCAAAACTTTTCTTTATTTTTTAATCACACATTTTCCATCAATACACTATTCAAAAATGCATTCTAAAGAAAATAATGTGGCTCATACAAGGGCTTAATGTTAGTAATGGGACAGCATGCAAGGGAGCAAGAACACAAATGGGAACCCTGCCACTCTTCCTCACATGGTAAGAGAGGAATAAAAAAAGAAAAGGGTCTTTATCTCCAAAAGAATAATTGGCCAACATCTTCATCTCATCAATATAAAAAGCAAGGCAATGTAAGAAATAAGGATCATGCAAAGCCATAAGAACTGGGGTCAGGATTTGGTTTTAACTGGTCATGCCTTGTTCTTGCTTGCGTATCTTAATATAATTTTTTTGTACTCCATTTCAACTATGAGAAATATGCTTCACAGATATATTAAAAGAGGGGCATGCCCCTCCATATTGATTTAAACACTGCATATTCAGTGATGCTACAGACCAGGAAAAAAAAAATGGGGCGACTTCTTTGACATCTATCAATAAGAAAGAATGTGCAAGTCATAAATACAGAATGTCATTTGTGCGCCTTCATTGAAAATAAGAAAAATTTGGCCCTTCTTATTAATTAGAAAAAATGCAGCTCCCCTGCCCATAAATCCCAATAATTTACTCTCAATCAAACAAAAGTATATGATGGTAAGTCAAGAGGAACATTAACCTTGAACTAACAGAGAAAGAGCAGAACTTAGAGAGGCATTGGGTCTCAGCATTGCAATTGGCTTTCCACTTGGTTCCCCAATTTTTGGAACCCAAGTACCCAAAGGAATAGAACAAATCGGTTGTTGAAGAATGGGCAAGGAGCTAGAAGAATGTCTAAAATGACGACATACACCTGGAGATTTGGCATGTATATTAGTTACAGAGCCAAATGAATGCACTTTAATCCACATACTACAAATAGCTTACATTTTAGAATCCCAGATAAGGAAGCTAGGTGAAGTAGCTGAGGATGCGAACCATCTTGTGATGAAGAGTGAATAATGGGAACCGCCGAAACTTTATTTTGCAGAAGTTTCAAAGCAACGTCTTTCAGAGAATCTTGAGGCCCAGCCTACAAATTTTAAAAGTACATATCAAAATAAATATAATATCAGAACACAATGTTGCCAGGTCCACATCTCAAAGAAAAAAAATAGTTTTTAACTTTATTTTCATCTCATTCATTCTCTTTAAGGCACAAAAAGTAACATTAAAAATAATAATAATAAATAAATAAATAAATAAATAAAATTAGAAGAAGAGGACACTATAACCAAGTGGAAAACAAAAGTAATAAAATGTCTCCAGTTTTGTGCCTAATGAACATGCCATTCTCAAGGCGTAGGAAAATCCTACACAGATGTTTTAGCCAGGTCGAAAACAAGTATGAATTCACTGTTTAGAACATTGTCAGACAGATTGAACAATAAGATGACACTATTCTGCCCTATCTACTTCATAGATTGTCTTCTATTACACGAAAGGCTCCATGGGTTGCATAAGATAGTTCGCCATCTCATAGTAACAATAAATGTGGAAAAATCAGCTCCAGAATAAGATGTACAAACAAATCTCTGTGGTTTCAAACTTGGAAGGCAGTAATTATCTAAAGATGACTCAACAGGAAGAGTGTAGTCACCAACAATGAACTTACCTTAATTATGTCGGCTTCTCCTTCGAATTTTTTAATAACTCTAATTTTAGTCACAAGACTCCCAACCACAGTAAAACCTCCACCTTGCTCAGTTGGAAGACATTTTCATTTTATCAAGGTCCAAAATTTTGTTAACCAATCTACTCAGTGAAAGGGTCAGAGGCTGAAAGCAATTGTTAAGTTCAAATGTTGCTTAGTCCTCAGACTTTACGGGGCCATGGAGTGCCTATTATATTTCTTGGAATAGAGTATCAGGCCTGCCAATAGAGGAGCTTTTAATCTCGTCATGAAAAAGGTTTCCCCGTCTCCCTTCAGATGCTGAAACTGTCACCACTGTTCGTTCAGTGAAAGGCCGCCTTTAAGTCATTATTATACTTGGTTATTATCTTTGGAAAACATGTTTTCCCCAACAAACAGCAGGAAGTTCCTACCAAGCTTGAAGTTTATTTGCTAGGCGTGACATTGAAATTTTTTGACATATATGCTTCTACTTCTATATTTCCTCTATCTTTGGGAGAAAATCTTTCAATGAAACTCCCATAAAAATAGTGAAACTGACATTCTAACATAGAAAAGAATCAGAACTATAAAATAAAGTGAAATAATAGACCAAACTAACTGTTTCAGCAACATCTAGACAATCATTATAAAATTAGCGTACGTGGACAAGCTGCCTTGAATATGAACTCAGATTTCCGTCAATCTGTCTGTTGAGATATAATTTTCCCTGTTTCCAGGCTGATATAGTATGCGTCTCAAGTTCTTCTTCTGTCAAGTTGGATCCATGATTCCCAAGCTGGAGTTCAGAAACAGAATGAATGCTTAAAGTTACTCAATTTAATATACAATGCTCAGTAAAAAATGCACAAGTTCCCCCAGAAAAAAGGAAATGAGGATCATATGTAAAATAGTAGAGAAGACAAAACTGAACCATGCACATCACTGATTGCAAGTCATATTGACAATTCCCCTTTCAGATTCTCCACAAAGAATAAAAAATGAGGAGTAAGAAAAATCCATTCTAATTTTTTCCCATTCACAAAAATTGCTACACTTATGCATTGCCTCAAGAATTGAATGGTATTGCATCTCTAGAACTTGCCTTTTAATTGTTTAGAATAAATGAAACTATGATAGAGATGAAGTGGGCTAATTGAGGTAAAAATAGATGTTGGACATACTAAGCCCCATTTAATGTCCGTTGGTATTTAGAGAACATTAACAATAGCTGATAGATAAGAGGCAGCGTTTGTTCAGGAAATGGAGAAATGGAAGGAGGGTCAGAAGGGGCGAGTAAAGCAAGGAATCAAGGCAATGGACTTCCTCTACATACACTTCGACTTTCCTCCAGTTTTCATTCCATACAACCACAGGATTATTATTTCACAACTGTATATTGTAAACAGTTATTTCACATAAGTGGTACATGTCAGAAAAAACTGGCAACAATGTCAAATTTTATATCTTACACAATCTTGAATCAATCACGTTATTAAAACAGTATTGAACTCATTTGAATTTAAATATAATACCCAAAAATATCAAGACTATGATTTGAAAGTGAATCATATGGATAATCGTTCTTCAGCAATCCATGACAGAGAAATTTTTTTAGTATGGATAAATCGAAATTTATCTTCTGTAGTAAATTCAAATTATAGGCTTAAAAGGATTAAATTGAGAACTATCCAATAATCGAACCAAATATAAGGCTGCTCAAGGTAGACTTTTACAAGACAAGTGGGAATCCAAAAAATTATCTACATAAAACTGCCTTAATAAATGTTCAGCTAAATTGACATCCTTGCCAATAAAGTAAACCCATCCTCTGCATTGCAATGCCAATAAGAGAAAATAATACCTCTCTAAGTATCAAGATGAAGTCTAATGCACTAAGAACTCCAACGAACTGACCCTTGCGGAAGTCCCATAGAGGAGCAACAGAGATTCCCTGGAGACAGCTTTGATAAAATGAGATAAAATCCAGACTATAAATTAGAAGTGATTGTGTAGAACGTTAACTGCGAGGACAATTACACTAACATCAAAAAGAGATAACTAATACATGAAACACAGGCATCCACTGATATTACACTGCAACCTGCATGACTGCATGGAACAAAAGCATGCATGTAGTCTTACAACAGAAACACAGAAAATTTTTAACCTCTTGAACAAAATTTTATATACCAGACTTGACCTACAGATAAGGCAGAACTTCCAAATAAAGAATTAGCCTATAAATCATGCAACACCACATTTAAGCATGCAGATTTACCTGTTCATAAAGAATATCGAATGCTTGTTTCACTGGTAAGTTTATATCCAAAGCAATTACCTGTCAGAAGAAGCAATATCATAAAAGTTAAAAAGTTAGATACTTTGTCGATATCAAGCCAAATATTGTTATGAAGCATCAAAAACAGCCATATCAAGCCCACCTTGCCAGACTCAGGAAGTAACTCATATGCGGTATGAGTGGACAAGAAAACAGATATACGGTTACGAGATAGGTCCACATCAGCTTGTGATATTCTTGGAATTGCTTCCTGCAAGGTATCATATGACCATGTCACCCTTTCTGTACAATAAACCATAATAATGTCCCTAACCAGAGTAACATAGCAAGGATTAGGATGCTCTTGCAGATAATAATAAGGCACTCTTCAAGAAATTTTACTGCTAATAACATTTCTAGAGAGCTTTAGTACTTTCCAATTACAAGTGAACACCAGATACTCTCAAGAGAGGATGAGAACCACAAAAAAGAAAGAAGGGCAGAAAGAAAGCACTCTAAAAAGCAACCAAATGAAAATGGCATGAATTATACAATTGTACATAGAGGTAACAACATTAAAAACAGCTAGTTACAGAACATCATTTGTAGCATATATCTTAAAAAGTATCTAACCGGAAGAAAGAGATCATTATCCACTTCCATGTTAGATCTACCAGGATTCTCTGGATTGAAAAATGCAGGAATTATTTCAGGTTCCCTGGCTAAGAAGATGGTGTTCACCACTCCATAATTTCCGGTTACAAAGGGTTGGTGCTCATCATGCCTCCACTCACCGTCAACAAAAAACTTGAACTGCATATGAATGAAGCAAAAGGAAAACAAGAATAAACATCAACTTTGATGAGAAAATGCAAGTTATTTAAGCTAGAAAGCTTCAAGCTCAAGGTCTAGAAGAGAATATATCCTCCATCTCAAACAAAAATAATATAATCCACTGCTGTTATGAAAAGCTATCTAATCACGTTGAATATCAGTAGTAGCAAGGCAATGAAATGAAAAGGAAGAAAAATTAGAAGACTTGGCCCACAAAGATGCAAGAAAACAAAATTCCCTTGCGAATAGGGTATTCCTCTCCAATCCCGAAAAAAGAAAAGGGTCTAGCTAACACACCCCTCAGAGAAAATTGAAGGAAAGCCTTGATATGAGAAAGTACACACCAGAGAGCATGTTTGTGGTGGCCTATTTTCACACTAAGAAGCATGAGAGAGAAAGGTTCCCCCTCACATACTTTTTCTCACTTCATGCTTATAAGCAAGCTAATAAGCCACCATAAACATGCTCAAAATATTTGTATGAGCTTAAATAAGAGTACTAGCCAGTATTTTCTACAATTTTTAACATTAAAACTCAAAAGATACTTAATAGAAGAGCTCAAGTTTATATAAGCATAAAGATTGATTAAAGCTCTGTTTCAGCTCCATTATTTGTGAAAAATAAGTTTTGTAATAGTGATTTTTTTGAAGAATACGTAGTTAAAAAGTAGACAAATTTTGAATTTACGAGCAGAATTATTTTAATGGAAGAATAAGTGCTTAAAAATGAATTTGAAAAAAATTTATTTTTATATAATGGGGCTCAAACAGGGGCCAAATGGCAACACAGAAAACGATGAATAATAATCATTTTAAGAAAAGCTATAAATATCAAATACTAAGAGTTAACATTTAATGCACGGGTCGTTCATTAACCTCAGTGATTAACTGGATCTAAGAAGCTACAAACTTCAATAGAAAGAATTTAAATCTAATCATGTTGACAAAATTAAAAATAAAAAAAACTCATAGTTAAATGATTGTTTTATCAACATGTCAAAATTATTCAGACCAAAAAAGATCATGTGTTGGCATGTGAAAAATTCCAAATACTTAAAAAATAATACTCTTTCTCGCAATTAGTGTGTTTTGACACGCCTAGAACATGTCAAGACTTCAACAAGTTCTGACCTGACAGCAAAAGATCACGTCTAGAAATTCCAAATAATTAAAAAATGATGCTCTTTTTTTCACAATTAATGTGATTTGACACGTATCATGAATGTGTCAAGAGTTCGAGAAGTTCTAACTTAATAGAAGCCCTGCCTCTTTTGGGTGCAGATGCTTCCCAGATTCAGATAGCAAACGCAGACTTATTTGAACGGAAAAATGTAATTCATATTCTAGTCCAAATTATACATATATTGTTATGTTGATCATTTTTATCAACCTTGTTAGAAAACCCATAATTATGTGTGAATATGTGTGAAGATCTAAATCATTTGCTTCGGTATTAATTATCTCATATTACATATACAAATACTTTACATTACATTTCCACTCCAATATATAAAGGGCTCAAGTTCCAATTTTAGTATGAATTGGTGCTTTCAGGATGGTCATTCCCATTATACCCATGGTGCTACTCACCTCCTTTGACCAACCCACCAAAACAAAACAACCTCATTTTCATTGATTATACTTTTGCGATTAATTTACATTTAGCTTCTTAGGCTGTACAGCCTAACATGATCTGTTTTTTATTATATAATCTAAAATTTGGGCACAGTCATTAAGACGATCCTCTTCTGCAGTATAGATCATTTCAAAGATTGAAAATTAGCAGATAGCATAGAATATCTTAAAACAAGGAAGACTAAATTGCAGTCAATTGAATTACCTGGTGATATCCCGGAGTCAAGTTGTAGATAACCTGAAAAATAGTTGGGGAACCCTCCATTGGTGACATGGGAATGTGATCTAGCCACCTGCACATTCCCAAAACATGGCAAACCCAGAATCATATTCTTCGGTAAATGAACTATATGCAAAGTGGTGAAATCAAAAAGTAAATTCTACTCAAATTTAGGGAAATTCTCATCCAGTCCCCAAACATTATAACTTGTAGCATGTTGGTTCCCTTTCATTTTTTGGTTGCATTTAGGTCCCCAAATTGTCTTTTTTGGTGTACGCAACGACAAACAGACACAAATCGTTTAAATTCCCATCAAATAATCACTTGAAAGAATGGGGAGCTTAGGTTATGGTATATAGAAATACCATTGAAAGAATGGGTTGTGTGCCACGCATTTAAGGGACTATATGACAGGAACCGTCCATTGGTCCTTGCGTGCACCAAAAAGTCATTTTGGGGACCTAAAAATGCAACATAGAAGGAATAGGGACACAAGTGCGACAAGTGGTAATGTTTCAACTATCGGTGAGAGTTTCCCTCAAATTAATCATATTAACAAGTTGGTCACCTGGTGAAAGAGCCGCTCAGCAGCACCCTCCTTCCTCCATACGGCCAAACAAACCGCGTTGGTACAAAAACTGTCCCACTATTGTTCAGCTGAGAATCTGAACTGCGAGGCCCAAACATTTCTCCTGTCAATAGCAGTTCAAGTTTAATTACATTTTTGATCCTCCAAATCCGTGCAAAAAAATAATAATAATAATAATAATAATAAAATCAAATAAAATGAGCTACTACTCTTGTTTCACCTCAATAAATAATCTGTATTTTAAATTGTAACTAAGAGGGTGTTTGAGCCCTATTTTTATGAAAAAATGCATTTTAGAATAGCAGATTAATGGAAAATGTGTGGTTGAAAAATAAGGAAAATTTTTTTATTTACGTATAATATTATTTAATGAATAATGTGTGGTTGAAAAGAAGAAAAAGAAAAAAAACACTTGCCTCTCTCTCGTGGGCCTTTACTTTTAAAATAGAAGAGAGGTAGTCGCAACAGGTTTGGAGTCTCAATCGGTCTTTTCTAGGATTCCTTATCACGCCACACATGGAGATTTTCCCATTGATAGATGAGAGAAAGTATTTTTGGAAGAGTGAGTATCAAACAAAGCCTAAATTTCCAGGGACGCATTACAATAACTATTCTTATAGTTATAAAAAATGAAAACCATAATGCCGTAATTCGGGCATTCAAAACCAAAATAAATTTTCAGTCAGAAAAGGATGCAACCAAAAACTATGGTAGATATACCACTCAATCCACAGTCTTCAGCAAGAGCATTGCAATTTTGCAGCAGATTTCCTGCAGAAAAACCAAAATCAGCTACTTTTTAATGAATTAAATATTTGTTGAAAACCCACAAAGTATATAATAAAGAGGGAGAATATTGAGCTCTAATCTGAAGTAGAGTTGGGGCTTTCATATGGATTTTGAGAATGAAAAACCCAAAATATGTAATCTTTACTAAATCTTTATGGGGTAAATTTGAAACTAGAATGATTTTAACAGAATTGGGGGAGAGAGAGAGAGAGGGAGGGAGAGAGAGAGAACACTAAATTTGGAGACTGAAGTGACAGAATGAGAGAGGGGATCTCTGAAGCTCTGTGAATATAATGTGGTGTAATGGTGAGGAGAGGATCATTTAATGGAAAAGGAGTCTTCTTTCATGTACAAAACAACAAATTGAAAGGTGAAATTAAAACAAACATTACGTAACTGTGTACACCTCTTCCCATAGTTTACGTGATTGTGTACACCTTCTCTTCTCATTTTGGGTTTAGGCACTGTTTTCCTGGCTTCCAAGGTTAAAAAGTGACAAATATGTGACGTGCTCTTTTTGTACACCTTTTCTATTTCCTTTCTTATTTTCATTTATTTCATCAATCTTTTTCTAATTTTTTATTTATATCTTTTGACCAAGTACCGTATCTTTATTTCTTTTTCTTTGCTTGATTTGTCACTGAAAATTTGCCTTGTTTTCAATAGATATTGGTAACATAAATCTTTCCATACCATGAGATATTCTGAGCTATAATGAAATTTTATTATATGGTAGCATTCAAAGCTCATAGCACCGGTATAGTTTGATAGTAGTTGATATTAACCTAGCTCAATTGATAAACAGGACATCATGATTACTTTATAAATTTCTCTACGTGTGTAGTCGGTTGTGTTGAATTAATTATATTTCACACTTTGCTTATGGTTAAGCCTTTCCAGCCAATCAAATAAGGTAGAAACACAAGCCCTCCTACCATGATATTGGTTTAATTTGAGACATTTATGCTCTATATAATTAATCAATATCTTAATGGGGCTTATAATATACTATAAGTGGTAGATTGTTTTCTTGTATCCAAACTATTTGATTTATCAATATTTAGAAGGTGATTTCCTACATTGATGATACTCGTGACTCAACACATAACTTTCAAATATCCCTTCAAATGACAAAGTTCCGAAATGAAACTTGGTCATCCAACCCTTCCACATTCACTATCTCAATACTCCAAATGAAGGTTGAGCAAAGATGTAAATCTTCCATTTTTGATTTGCAGAGAAAGAAATTGAAGCAAAATAGCTGTTACAAGAGAAATGCCAAGATGAAAAGGAAAATACAGAAGAAAGTGTAATCATTTCAATCTGTTTCCTTTGTCACCCGAACCTGTATCTTTAACCATCAATTAAATAAGTGGATTATGAAACTCAAGTTGTCCATCAAGACGTCTCCACCAAACATGCATATACAATTTAATACATTCTAAGCACGCCTCTCAGCTACATGCAAATCCCGTATCTCCATCACATTGTCCGCTATCGTGAGGTGTCTTACCCATAAAATTCCATCCAGTTCCAACCAAACAACACTTTCCACAACATTGAAATTTTAATATAAGATGCCAGTCTAAGAAAATGTCATAAAAACTAGGGAAATTACAGCACAAGTGCCCTGTGCATTTTATGCAAACTGATCCTCCCAAACCATCCAAAAAACCTACTACTATTTTTTCACCCGAATAAACAAACTGTGTGCATTTAAATTGTAAACCAAATTCCTACTCATGCATTACAGAAACTGTTCTTAAAGATATAAAAACGAGAAAACTGTGACGCTCGTGATCCTCTGCGAAGCAGCAGAGGAACCCTCTTGTAATTCACGAATGCAAAATACCCAAAATAAATTACACTGTCAAAAAGCACGGAAAAGATAATCACAGTAGACATACCACTCATTCCACAATCTTCAGCACAAGCATTGCAATTTTGCAGCGAAATTCCCTATGGAAATGTCAAAATCAGCTCTTTTTGATAGATTGAGAGCGAGAATTTGTTGAAAATCCACAAAGAAACTAATAAAGAGGAGAATATTGAGCTCTGATCCGAAGTGAAATTGGGGCTTTCCAAATGATTTTGACACTGAAAAACCCTAAAAATGGAATCTTTACTAAATCTTTCTCTGGGGGCAAATCTGGAACAAAAATCGAACTCAAAGAGAGAGAAAGAGAGTACTAATATTGGAGGGTTGAGAGAGAACGAGTGGAGGGATCTTTGAAGTTGTGTTAGTGTAATATGGTGAATTGGAGAGAAGAGAATCAATTAGGAAAGGAGGTTTTCTTTCAAGTGCAAACCCACAAATGGAAACGTGAATTTACATCAAACAGATTTACATAATTTTGTACCCCGTCCCCATCTCTGCTTATCACTGTGTGTATTTAAGTGCCCTTTTTTCTCTTTTTCCTTTCAGCTTTTAAGGTGAAAATTAAGTAATTTCCTTTCTCATTCTAGTGTGTAATTGCTTGTTTCTCTTTCTTTATTGGGCTTCTAACTTAAAAATGACAAATATGCAGTGTTCTAAATAGCGCGAGGCGAGGCTATGCGCCAATGCGTGTCTAGACGAGTAAATTTCTTCTTCTTTTTTGTTTACAATTCTTTTAAGTTAAAACTTATAATTATTAAAAAATTTATAATTATTAAATAATAATTTTTTATTGATTAAAAATTTAAAATAACATTAAAATAAAAAAATATTTTTTTACGCATTTGCCTTGCCTAATCTCGCATTTCCCTTAGCTTGATATCAACGCATCGCCACGCATTACATCTTTTAGAATACTACAAATAAGTGAGGGAACATTTTGTTTGCTATTTTGAAAAAGAATCAGTTTTAAAGAACATTCAAAATTTATTTAATCTGATATTTTTGAAAATATATTTTCGAAAATAAGGTTAAGTTTATATAAAATTCAAAACGAATTTTTGATGTTTTAAGTATTTTTAATTTATATTCTCAAAAACATTGATAATAAGCTTTTTCTTAAAATTTTCTTAGAATAAAACTCTAAAATTCTAAACAATAAAATTATAATTTAATGAACAAAATATGAAATAATAATATTCAAATTTTTTCTGTCAAATCTAAACAATTAAAATAATAAAAAATTAAAATATTTGTCAATTCTAGAAATATAAAATTTTAAATGGTTTCTAAAAAATAAAAAAATTCTAACAACATAAAATTTTAAAAATTTCTAGAAAAAAAAAATTCAAGCTAGTTGAAACACTCAAATTTTCATAAATCCCGTAGGGTTACCAAATATTTGCTTTTCTTCGTATTAAAGGCAAAATGATAAAAATAAATTTATTTAAAATAAAATAATTGAAATATCCATAAATTTAAACAAAACATGAGAATTGTATCTTAAAAAAAAAAAAAAAAAAAAAAAAAAAAAAAAAAAAAAAACAAAAAAAAAAAAAAAAAAAAAACATACACACACACAATCACCTAACTAATTATGTATCATATATTTGAACGAATAAAACTTACTAACAAATTGAAAGATATGAAATTTAACGTTTATTTTTCCTTCGATCCACTTGACAACCCGCATCATCATACCGCCACAGTTCCGGATAATCCGATCTAACCTATAAAATTATTCAAAATGTGAGTATTTAAAAATACACAATAAAATACGTATAATTTCTATAAACAATTTACAACAATAATTCATACCATATTTCTCTTATGGAGTGTATCGGTGACCAAACGACACACCCACTATTAGTCATTTTGAATTTCCAAAGGCTTTCACATTTCGTTAGAAAGAGCTTAATAGAGTTCACACTTTGTTAGGTCAACCCAAAAGGTCCCCCAACAATTCATGCATAAAAAACTGAATATAAAAGTATACCAAAATAAAATCCCATGCAAAAAAGTATCTTATTTTGATTTTGAAAAGTTGAACAATATAAAATCTTGCACATAAAAATTATCCTCTTGCTTTTTAATATATTTTTCCTCTCCTCTTTCTCTATCATGGCTCTCTTTATTTTTTATGGTGAAATAATGAGAATTCATGCAATATTTATGGTTGAAATTCTAAATTGAATTCGTATGCAACTAGAATTGAAAACTGTTTAATATAAGAATCTTGGGTAAAGATTGACTTCAAATTGTAGAGTTAGTAGTATATTCTACTATTGGTTTCTTGGTACAATCATCCATCCCATTGAAAATGGGGCACGTAGCCAACTTAGATTTGGTTTCAAAAAGTAAAATTCGAATTGTACTACACTATTGGTTTCATATCAAATAAAAATGGTATGTGGTGGGAATTAAAAGATTAAAAGAATTTTGCTTAATTAATATTACAAGCTCTCACCAACTATATTAACATATTATTCTTTTAATCGGACTTAACTTGACGTAGTCTAATCCAAATAACATTTTCTCGTCTTGAAATCTTCTAATTAATTATGAACTGCAAAAAGAGTTCAATATTGATTTATTAAAACTTGTTCTATCAAAATATAATTATTTGACCAAAAAATATAAGAATTTAAAACATGTTTTCACAATAGTCCCTAAATTTCAAAATATAACTATATAGCATATAGAACAAATAAATTTTATTCTCTAAAATTTTCAGAGCGTTACAATCTCCCTTCCTTAAAAGAATTTCGTCCTCAAAATTATCTCAATTAATTGAAAAGTTCTTAATATTTGACCTCGACATACTTATAACATTTCATAATATGAAACAAGAAAACTCATAATCATAATAAAAGAGTAAAATTTCATTTCATACCTTTGATTAATCGGAGAGTGGTTGAATAATGAACATTGTATGCCAATGATTACATGTTTAAGAATATAATATTTTATATTTTACTTAAACTCCAAATACTTATGAAAATACCTCATTTTTATTTTTTCTAGAAATTTCCAAAAATATGAATTTCTCATAATATAAGTTTCTAAAAGTAGATTTTTTTTTTATTTGGAATGATCTGAAATATTATTTTTCTTCTTATTGATTTGAATAACGTGTAATAAAAAAATTTCCAGATGAAGAGGGGGTCACAAGTGGACCGCTTAAATCTCAAACTTCTATTAATCATTTTAGGTCTTTTTAACAAAACTTTTCAATTTTGTGAATATCCAAATCAAGTAAACTCAAAAAATAAGTAGGAACTATAGATCCCTAAAAATATATATGTTAATTTGACAAATTTTTATTAAAACTCATTTATTTAAAACTAATTAAAAAAGTATATGGAAAGAGAGACCTGGGCATTGATATCAAATTGAAACACCCATAATTTTTATAAATCATGAAGTGTTAACAAATATTTACTTTTCTTTGTATTAAAAGCGAAACAATAAAAATAAATTAACTGAAATATCCATAAATTTAAACAAAACATGAAAATTGTACCTTTAAAAAAAATTCAATCACCTAACTAATTAAATAACATGTATTTGAACTAATAAAACTAACAAACAAATTCAAAGATAGAAAACTAAATGTTTATTTTCCTTCGATCGACTTCACAACCTGCATCTCCATACCGCCACATACATTATTAGTCATTTTGAATTCTCAAAGGCTTTCACATTTTGTTATAAAGAACCCGATAGAATTCACATTTTGTTAGGTCAGAACTTGAAAGTTCATTGGCAATTCATGCATAAATTATTGAATATAACAGTATACGGAACACTTGCACAAAAATTTCTTACCTTATTTTGAAACGTTAGAAAGAATAAAATCTTGTAAGTAAAATTTCTCCTCTCATTTTTCTATATTTTTTATTCTCCTCTCTCTCTCTCTCTACCATGACTCTCTTTATTTTCTGTTGTGAAATAATAAGAATTCATGCAATATTTATAGTTGAAATTCTAAATTGAGTTTGTATGCAGCTAGAATTGAAATCTATGAAATACAAGAAATTTGGATAAGAATTGATTAAAAATGATGGAATTAGTAGCATATTCTACTATTGGTTTCCTAGTATAATCATCCCATTGAAAATAGGACATGTGGCCAACTTGAACTTGGTTTCAAGAAGTGATATTTTAGGTGTACTACACTATTGGTTTCATATCAAATGAAAAATGACGTGTTGTGGGAATTAAAAGAGAAAAAGAATTTTACTTAATTAATATTACAAGTCCTCGCCACCTCTGTCAACCTATTATCCTTTTAATCAGACTTAATTTGATGTAATATAATCTAAAATTAATTTTCTCGTGTTGAAGTCTTCTAATTAATTACTAGCTACAAAAAGAGTCTAATAGTGATATATTAAAACCCGCTCTATCAAAATATAATTATTTGACTAAAAAATATAAAAATTTAAAACATATTTTCTCTTTGGTCCCTAAATTTCAAAATATAACTATATAGTATATGGAACAAATAAATTTTATTTTATAAAATTTTCAAGGCTTTACACTAGTTAATGGTTATTCACATAAAGTTTTAAAAAATATTTTTAAGTAAATGCAGATAAAGAATTTCGGTCCAGGTAATTATTTTTTATTTTCAATGTTTAGTCAACTCAATTTACTATTTATTTTTATTATACTTTTGTACTAATAAAAAGTATTGAAAGATTCATCAACTTTAAAACTTATACGTCACTTGATAATATATTAATGTAAAATTTTTCTATTTTATTGAATAATCAAATTTTATGAGTAAAATGTTCTAAAATAAGTTCTCAAAATTTGAAACCAAAAATGTATTCTCATTTTCTTTTTTAAAAAATGATTTTTCAGAGTGACAAACTATATATATATATATATATATATATATATATGAGCATACATATGTATATTTTCTTTCCATTTTTATTTTTAAAAGCTTTCTTCTTCTTCTTCTTTTTCTTCTTCTTCTTCTTCTTTCTTGTCATCCAAGGTTAAAAGGTGATAAACAAGTAATTTCTTTATTGATGATCAAGAGAAATTTACAATTCGTAAATTCTTATATTTGCATTCCTACTTGTATTTATTCCATCCATTTTTTTTAACGCGTTACTTAAATTATAATTTAAGGGCCGTTTGTTCCACATTTTTTCAATAAAATGCATTTTAAACATCACATCATGGATCGTACCTTAAAGTGTTGAAATAAAATATTGTAGGCTGATTTGATGGAAAAAATATATTATTTTCCCAAATAATGTGCACCAAACGGGGCTTTAACAAACAAGTTACTTATTTTTATTTTCTCGTTTTCTGATGATTTAGCTTAACTGAAATATTGTCATTCTTGAATCAAGTTACGTATTCTATATTCTTGTTCTTTGCCTAAATTTTTCATGGGAAATTTGTTGTTTTCTTAAAAGATACTAAATATCGATATTTTGATATTACAAGATTATTGATTTAAATTTCTATAAGG